TAAAATATTTCTCCCCACTAATTTTTTTTATTATCATTGAATGAAATAATATGTATGAATAATTTTAATATTTAAAAAATGCTAATATTGAAATTTCTAATATGATTTAGAATACCATATAAAGTATTATTTGATTGAATTTTTACTAATCAATAGAGAGAGAACTTTGAAATATTTCAAATAATTATAAAAAGATTTGAAAAATAAATTTATATTTAATTCATATAAGCGGAATATCTTGTGGTAAACAAGGAAAAATTTATAAGTATAATTTATAATAAGAATTGTTTCGTTATTTCTCCATTATCATTTATTAATTGGCGAATTTTTTTCTCTCATTTTTGAAATAAATTCTTTCAAAATTTCTACTTTATTCGGTAATTTTTTTTATTCGGTAATTCGGTAATTATTCAATTTCAGGAAAATTTTCTCATTTTCAGATGAACTTTCAACATTTGGTTTGCCGTTAGCTATCATTCAAAGTCGTTCCGGTTTTGCATTACCTCGATTTATCCTGGAAATGATGCACTTTTTACGTATCGTAGCTCCAGATACTGTTGGAATATTTCGGAAAAGTGGTGTTCGTTCACGAATTACCGAATTACGAATGCTCTGTGATGTGGCACCAGAAGCGGAAGTTTTTACAGATGAGAAACTTGATCCATCTCAGGTATTTATAACCTTTTTACTCCTTTGGCACATTTCATCTTGAAAAGTTTAAAAATTATTTTTGAGAAAATTTATTGAAAATTACATATAACTAAATTTACAATAATTAGTTAAAATCTTTTATAAATCGATCAATTTATCTAGATTATACAAAAAAAAAAACAACTTTTATTTTATATCATTTCTTTTGTGAAAAAAAATTAGACAAGAATTTACGAGCGATAATTTTTATCGTAACCATATACTGTCACATCAATTTTATTTTTTTTTCTGTATTTCTTTTGGTATCAATTTATTTCATACCTTTAGCCTGTATATTCATCATAGGTATCATTTTAAGGTTCACGATATAGCTGATCTTTTAAAGCAATATTTTCGTGAATTACCAGAACCATTAATGACTACAAAATATTCAGAAACATTTGCTAAAATTTTCATACGTAAGTTTAATATTATTTATTAAATGTTAGCTATTATTATTTTAATATATGAAATTTTCATTATTAATTCTCTTTCATTGCTTACAAAAATTACACATTTATTTTATTCCTTTTTAATTTGATTTGAAATTATTTGTTGAAATATATTATTTGTAGATATTCCAACAGAAATGCGTATGGAAGCTCTTCAGCATGCTGTTTTATTATTACCTGATGAGCATCGTGAAGCGTTACAAACTTTACTTTATTTCCTTCATGATATCGCTAAACATTCTGCAACTAACAATGTCAATTATTTTTTTCAATTCAAATTTCTAATTAATTAGTTCAAATTATGCTTAATATATTATTATTTCTAATAATTTTTTTTCCAGTATTATATTTATCATTTTGTTACAATTTAGAGGCAGAATTTGCTTCTCTTTCTTTTTACAGATATTTAAATACTTCACATTCTCTTTTTGATTTTAGAAATTTTGAATAGAATGAGTGAAGGATTTGAATTATATTCAAAATTTAAATGTGATATTTTCAAATTTCAATTTTTACATCGTAATATTTTTTTTTTCTTTTTAGATGACACCACAAAATCTTGCTGTATGCTTTGCACCATCATTATTTCAATTATGTGGTTCACGCTTGAATAATATCAGTCCAACAAGGTTTTTATGTGATATTTCTTTTTTTGTTAGCTGTATGTATGATGTGACATAAGAAAACTGTAAGTATGATCACGTACCACGTTGATATCCTCACATGCAACGGATAGAATAATGTATTCATTTTTGAATGTTAGTTAATTTTTTATAACGTATATTTCTTTTAGACGTCATAAAACAGTTGGAGCAGCAGGATTGCCAACAGAACGTGAAATTAAGGAATCACATGCTGCGCAAGAATGCCTCGTGCAAATGATCGAGCATTGTACCAAAGTATTCATCGTTCCAACCAGTCCAGGATTCGAACGTGATAAAGGTAACGAGTACTGTAAAGGTACCGAATCCGATGCACCATTTCTTACCGAATTGGGTTTATCCCAAGATGGAAATTATAAAACGTACCTGTTGCAGAAAGCAAGAGAGGTATTAAAGGTAAGCAATTTATGTTTTAAATTTTAATTTATTTAAATTTCGATAAAATTAGCTGTCGAAAGAATGATATATCTCAATTGATATTACACATTCTTTAGGAACATCGCGATCGATGGAAAGGTTGGATTGTTGAGGGTACGGTGAATGGTGTTGAAATTTCAACAAAAAAATCAACCGATGGTCATCCGTTACGATTCTTTCGTGTTTGGGTTGACATTGAAGCACCACCCAAGGAGATTCTTACAAAGATTGTTCGAGAAAGGTGACCTTTAAAATTTATTTTTGATTTGAAATACATTTAATAAATATGAAAGAAGTTTTTTTTAAGTGCTATAATGATTTAGTATGTAAATAATACTAATGATTTTTTTTTTAATTCAGAAATGTTTGGGATGTTCAAATTATCAACTGGAGAACGGTAGCAATATTAAATGCGGAAAATTGTGACGTTTTTCAATATGTTATCAATGATACGCCATCACATCCAACGCGTGATGTTACAGTAGTCAGGTATGTTTAATTATAAATTTATAAAAAAAAAAAACAACGTTATTTTTATTTTGATGTACAAATCGTAATTAAAGGAGAAAAATTTTGCAAAGAATTATAGAATTTGAATATACATATGCAACTTTTTTATAATTAAAATTTTAATTTAATTTTTAACTATTTCAGATTATGGCGTACAGATATGAAAGAATTACGTGGTGGTTGTGTTTTGGTAGAACGTTCGGTACATTCCAGTGAAACGCAAATGTTAGGTGGTCTTTCTGCTGCTGTACTCTCATCACAATTTCTCGTTGAACCAATTGCTGGTCGTTCACGTGTTACGTATATCACAAGGACTGATTTACGGTATGTACATGAAATGCTTACTTTATTTAACTTTATTTAACGTAATACTTTTTTTGGCAGAATTATTTTTAACTTTAAAATGTCTGTCTTCCTGTAAATTTTAACTTTAGAGGACGAAGTAATGTTTGGTATAGTAAAATATATGGACAACTTATTGCACGACAATTTTCACGATTACGTGACTCATTCAAACAATTTACACGTGCTGATGATGGACCTGAGACGAAAGTTTGATTCATAATTTCATGTCTGATTAATTAGGTACTATTTTTGTTATAACATATTATTGCTAAAATTGCTATAAAATTTAATTCTGTTGATTCATTTCTATTAAAATAACATCGTATTATAAAGATCTTTATCAATAAACGGGATTTAATTTTAACAATTTCCTAAATACATAAATTTAATTTCCATTTTTTTTTTTGATAAATTGTTAGTAATGTGTGATGTTTAAATGTTCTTCCTTTTTTTCAAAATTATTATTAAATACAATTATGCGCTCCATTCTTGTTAATTAATACATAGTTCACTTATTAATTTTTTTTCATCTTTTTATTGTCATATGAAATTATATTTTATTTCAATTGCTAATGATCATTTCGACTTCTAATATTAATTCAAATTAGTGCTGCCACTCATTAATACTGCTAAAACAGCTGGTTGGTAATTCTACTTTATGTGATTGTAACTTATTCGTCTCTTTCTCTCTCTCTCTCTCTCTCTCTCTTTCTTTCCCCGTCCCTCTCTTTGGAAATAATCATACTACATATGCTCATATAATTGAAGACAATTTCTCGAAAACCATATGTTATGATTTATAAGATACTCCTTTTCTTGTGAAATTTTTAATTATGAAATAAATATTGAGAAATGAATTTAATAAATTTCAAATGATTTAATAACATTCCTCGGATGGGAATTTCTGCATTGACTGGAAAGCATCGAAATATTTTCAATCATATAAACCTATTGAAATAATTGAAATATTTTTTTGATTTAGGAAGATTTGGTACTGTAGGGGATTGTTTTTTTCAATAGGTCAAATTATATCGATAAAAACAGTAAACTAAATTAACCTTTTTCATCCTTATAACCATTCCCCGCTCACTTTATTGATGTTTACTTTCTAGAAAATCATATATGTCTGCATTTTATTTGCTTCTTTTTTTTCAATAATGTATCGCTTCATTTTGCTTTTATTTTTTAATTTGTAATTGTAACAGGAAATTTGTTATCATGTTGTCTTGAAAAAAAAGAAAAAAAAAGAACTTGATAGGTAAATTTTGAACTATCGCCCTTTTCAGGTTTTTATTTTCTCTTTAGTTTTATTTTTTATTTAGCCTTATCAGGCAATTTATCCGTTTAGTTTTATATTTTATTTTATAAAAAAAAACCTCCAAACTCATGCTTTTTCTTCTAAAAATTGATTTTTGAGATTTGATTTAAGTTTTCTAAAATTTGGATTCAATTTCTTATTGAGACATTTTGATTTTGCGGCCTCTAATTAGTTAAATGATAAATTAATTGAATAAAATCTTGCGAATTTTTTATTTTTTATTTTTTTTTTGTGAAATGACGGCATATATTTTCTTCATTTCACTGTTGCGACGAAATATTTGTATTACAGTTAATAGATTGGTAACGGATATTACGGTAGTTTTTTTCTTGTTTTTTTGTTTCCTGGTTGTGATTTCTTTTTATCGTGAATTTGATCTTGCTGTATTTATCATTGAACTACCTTTTTTTCTTATAAATGAATATGTATGAAAGCAAGGAAGGAATTTGTTAAGAAGTTTTATTTTTTATTTATTTTTGATATCAGAAATTTTCTATAGCTTAGATATAGTGGTTAAAGTTTACTAATATGCTTGATATATTCCTAACATTGATAACAAATGTTAGAAACATTTTACAAATTTGACATGTAAAAAATTGATCATCATCAAGGGACAAGCAAATGAGCTGGTATGCCAAATGAATGCATTTGTTTCCAGTTCAAATTTCTCCATGTTGGAAAGTAAGTAATTAAAGCACGAAAGCTTTGCTTTAGCAATGTTTCCGGATTTCTGGGAAGCAATAGAAATGAATCAATTTGTGCCTGATTAACCATTTGTAGCACTTTTTTCCGTAACATAACTACAGTACCGTTACAGGTAACGTCCAATGTTAATTCGTCAAATTTACATTCTGGAAGCCAATTTAAACGATGCCATGTAAATGTTTGCATTTTCACAACACATATCTGTAATTGAAATTTTTAATTGACAATATATTTTTTTAAATATTGCTATTCTTTTTTTTGCTTTACTAACATGAAATTGAAAAAAAGCTTGCATTAAACAATCGTTTGATTTTTGAAATTTTAAAATATTAAAGAAATTTTTAGAAACAAAAAAAAATCTTTCTCCAAAGCTGTATGTTATGTATTCTAAAAGATTTGGCAATTTTTTTTGAGGCTTCCAATAAATTCTATTCTATTTATCTGTTTTACCAAAAAATCAATGATGAATGAAATTTTAGCAAAGTTGATTTCGACAAGCTTTAATTGTATTCAATGGCACAAAAAGAAAGTTGAATTGGAGTTTTAAAATTCTTGGGAACAGAACAGAGCTAATTTCTGTGATGTGAAATTTTTCAGTGACAACTGTTGGAAAGTATAGTGAATTTGTTTTAAATTACATAAAGATTTATTTATCAGCTGTAATGGTAATAATATGGAAAATTAAAAAAAAATACATATATAGCATTTGTAAAAGTAACTACAGTTTATATTAATTTCTAATTCCCTGAAGCAAAAATATATTAACTTTCAGGTGCTAAAATTTATGATCAATAAAAAGATATGAATGCAAAAAGGGATAAATGATCGCACACGAGGTTTAAAAGGAGATCAAAAATGAGATAATTTTATGGAAAAGATGAAGAATCAGAAATTTTAAAAGTGCCTTCAAGATTCCAGAACAATCTTTCAAAATTTAGTACAATCCTTTAAGGTTCAGAGCAGCAGTCTTTCCACGATTGAAGATAGTTCAGGGCAAAGTTCAGTCTTGTAAGCAAAATGTCAGGTAGAATTTTTGTCATGGATAATTGACAGTGCTACTGATATCATATCCATTTTCTTACAGTTTCTCTCATTTGATATATCGTATGAACGTGAAAATTTTGCAGAAGTAAACAACAAACACGTTAAGCACCTCACAATGAGTAGTATCCTGATTAAGAGTGTTGTGTGGTTCAATGAATTCCGCTATTATCCATAACCATCCATCTCGTCCCACGTGTTTTACACGTCTAATAAGTGTAGTGATACTTAATTGTAATATTGCATCCTGCGAAAATTCTTGTGCTGCTTGTTGTTCTACTTGCTGTTGTTGTTGTTGTTGTTGTTGTTGAATAGCTGGTAAACTATTTCCAATAATACCTGTTGCTTTTGTACGTACAATTTCCAATTCACCAGTATGTAAATTAGCCCGAACTAAACGACCTGTTAAACATTTTATTTCCGCATGGGTAGTTATTGAGGAACTTTCAAATAAATACATGTAATTTCCATCAACCCAAGGTTGACCACAAAAACGTAGGCCAGATATGTTTGCAGTAAGGAAAACGGATCGTACTGGTGTATCCAAATTAATTTGCGCAACATAGAAATTTCGTATTTGATCATGCTGGGACATGAAAATGATGCCTCGTTCGGAAGCTCTTGCAGAACTCCAAAAATGTGAATTATTGGTTAAATCATTAAAGAGTATTTTTTGAATTCGAATTAATTCCTGCGAGTGATCGAATTGTATTGCATAAATATGGAAGCATCCGGAATTACAACACACCAATATTCCTTCTAAAGAATCAATCTCATACAGATGTTTCATCTGTAATGTAGGTGGTAGATTAATCACTATGTAACGTCGTGCGATTCCTCGATGTAAATCCCATACAAATAGTTGAGTTTGTAATTCCGTTGGATCTTCACCGATCACGTATACGTATCGTGCATCTTTACTTACGGAATAGTGATAAGTTATGATTGGATAAATCAAATCCTCAATTTTTTCATCCGCTAATGGAAAAATTTTTTGCGGTTCACACTGAATAGTTTCATTATTTTGCTTAGTTCCAATTTCATTGTTGCTAGAGGAATTACGGCCGCTGCTACTCAATGCGGAATCAATCATTTCGTTTGGATTTGAATATTAATTTGATTCTCTACTAATGAATTGTTCCTTTTTTATACTCTGAACATAAATAATAGCTTAGTCAATATCATTTATGATTTGAAATTTAAATTTAATTTAATTATTGTAATAGATATTTGAAATAAAATTTATTCATCTATATCAGACATATAGATGATAACACTGCTTGTTGTGAATGAAAATTATTTCTACTAATCATACAAATAACTTTTTTTCCTACATGAGCTGCAAGTTTAGGTTAATTTTTGAAATCTAAAATTCCTACTAGAATTTTTTATGAATGTGTCAAAAGAGATTCACAATGGTTTCATGTAAAAACCAATTTCAAAAATTAGCTGTTTCCATGAATAGAAGATAAAATAATAGTTCTAAAGGTATTTCACGTTAATGGTGCGTATTTATGAATAACTTACTATTGGCGTAAATTGTTAAAACTTGCATGCATTGTGTGCAATTAACGACGCTGTCACTTTACGTGCCGGTTATAATAAATGAAAATGATTCAATAAACGCTGTGACGTTTCTTTTATAATCGAATCTTTCAGAAATAAAAAAAGCATAAAGAAATTTTCATGCAATTTTTAAGCAAAAAAGTTAAGTTACTTAAAACAATTCATTCATAGCAATGATTCATTTTAGCTTATTTACTTCGTTTCTTACAGTTACATTTCCGGTAACATTTATTATTTTATCATTACGATTTGAGCCATCGTTGATTTAAAATAAGCAAAGTATAAGAAAAACTAAGACTTGAATTTCCATCAATTAAAGAGGTATTTTTTTCAGTTTTACATTTATTAAATTTTTTTTTCATTTTTCCTGAAATTATCTGATGGAATGAATTGCAGATCGAATGGATATTACTGGAAATGAATTCCTGGCAATTACATCAATTATTGGTGGCATAATTAGCATTGTACTTTCAAGCATCCTTAATTGTGCCAGAAGGGAAAACGCTAGAAATCAAAAAGGTTTAATAATAAATAACTGTGTCAAAAAGGTTTAATAACAATAAACTTATTGAGATTTGTCGAATTTAATTCTAAAATGAATTTTAGTATTGAAGCAAAAGTGGCTACTAAACAATTCCCAATATCAGCACTTCTCTTATGATGATTACACACCTGAAACATTGATATTATCCAGACGTCATAATGGATTAAATATGAGTTGGAACAATTTGAACCAGCAGAACGACACTTCAAAGACGAAGGTTTGATTCTTAATTAATCATTGCTTTTTCAAATTATTTTTGATCACTGACCTTTCCTGTATATTACCATTTTATTTCCATATATCACATTTGTTATTATTACTATTATTATCATCATTGTTATTATTGTCATTATTACTATTGTCAAAAGGCTCGAGCCTATCGGATTTTCTTTTGAATCAGATTTTGAATTCGCAGAAACCTTATGTTTAAGATTTATAAATCAATCATAAATTCATTAAAATTAGCAATTCAAATTTTATTTGTTTTTTATGTATTAATTATATTATCCATTACCATGCAATTAGCTTTCAGCAGGAAATGATTGAACGTGATGACAGTCCGCAAAAAATGATTGAACCATTACCTGACACATTCATTTCTTATGTCACGGATATTAATCGTAACTTTATTATTAAAATTTATTAAAAAAAAAAACAAATAATTTCGGCACCTCATTTTCTTTTGGATGAGAAGTTGAACTTTTGAAGGTCATATCAATAGTTTTTTTGCGTATTTGCAATTCTGAAAAGAGCAAAAGTTATCGTTATCTCTAATCTTCAGATGAAGTGACAGCTATAAATTAATGAAAATTTCTCATCATTTTCAGTAAACAATAATAATAAATTGGAGGAAGAACAAACGGCAATAGCAGAAATTGGCACCACGAGTACTCAGATGACAACCACGCTGAATTCTATGCCATCACGTGGGAATCTGAATCCAAGTGTGAATCTGAATCATATGGTTTCCAAATCAAACAGTATTTTTGAGGTGGCTATTGGTGACGAAGAATTACGAAATAGATTTGAATCAAATATTATTGATGATAAATCAATTTTATCGAAGGAAAAAAGTTGGAATAGTGGACAGTACTGCCGATGCAATCATGATGAAAGCCTTCAAATTCAAGCCAAACATAAAAATTGTAATAAAAAGATGCCAGAAAATGAGATGATTGAAGAATATAAATTATTGGAATCAGTGGCAGAGATGGTGAAGAAGTACGAGCAGAAGGTATGCCTGGAAAATAATTAATGTACATAATTTTAAAAAAAAGAACATTATATAACTTCATATTGACCGTATGTTAAATTAATGACTGTCATTATTGAATATCAATTCAATTACAGTTTACATTGATTTCGATGGCAATAAACTTTGTACTTTCAACTTTTTGTTACATTTACAGACATTTTATGATTATACAACGGTAAAATTTTTGCTGTTATAGTTAAATTTCACATTCTTTTTTTAATTTTTGAATGCTTTATATGGAAGAAAAGAATTTTAAATGTGATAAAATATTTTAACTGATTATTTATTTTGTTATTATTTCATTTGTAGCAAAATTTAAATCAACATTTGTTCAGCAAACTTCGCAATTTGCATACAAAAACACATTTCTAAGCTAACACGGTATAGTTACACTAAAGTTAAAGCGTTGATAGAACATATGAAAATATTTTCAAAACGTAAAATATTTCAGATAACAAAAAAAAAAAACAAACGCAATCTGGATGGAACAAAATTTTTCAAAATAATTTATCCACCATTTAGTTATTACTTTTTACAAATTATGGAAAGCAAGAAATTTTTTTCGAGAATTGTAATCTTTAACTTTGTACGTCATTATTTATCATACCCAGTAGATTTTTCAGTTTCTAACTTTAATCAGATCGTTTGAAATATCGTTTGAAATATAATTTGGATTTATTAGGAAATACGATGCTATCAAATATCCTACAGCATCGTTATTCATAATGAATCCAAATTAAATTGCATACAAGAAATATGGAATAAAAAAAATGGAACGAAGGAATGATAGAATAGCTTAAATTCAAAAATAAATATAAATCAAAATTTAAGGAGCGATACGATTATCGTAAAAGATTATTGGTTATTAAATTAATGAATGAGTTTAATTTAATGAGAAAAGAAATACTTACGTGCTTTGAATCGAATTGATCAATTGTATTATTGTTAGTTTATTGTTAGCACCGCAATTAACCAAATAAAATAATAGCAGAAGACTATTAAAGTACAATAATAAAAAGATAAAGGTAATTATTCAAAATTAGAATCAGAAAGAATTTGTTCTTGAATAATATCTTCTCGATAAGCGATTCAGCCTACAGTAAAATACAAGATTGGATTTTACATGCCATTTTCTCAAGCTGTTCATAAGATCAATATACGGTTTTTTCTTTTTAAATACAAATCAGCATATCGGCACAGAATTGCATTTAAATTAGATAACAGATTCATCAGTATGTGTATGGAAAAATGTTGTAAATAATTTTTGTACAGTATGATAAATGGTTTTATTTAAAAATGCTTTATACAAAAAATAATTTTATTGTTTTAACATATTATGGCTTTTTTCTTCGGTTGCCGACAATTATGACGGTATGTTAATAGCATTTGGAATTGGAATTAAATTTGAATTGTTAAAAATTAGTCAATATTTGTTCATTTTAAATGCCTGAAAAATCATAGATCGACAATGTGTTTATCCATTCCTTAAAATTTGGGTAAAAAAATTTACTTTGAAAATTTTCTTTTCGAGAGATTAGGAATTTTTTTTTTGTTGCTAAAGTTTTTCTATTACTCAAGTGAAAGATTGTGATGAAATCAATGATTGCAAACATATCTGAAAAACAAAGTTAAAAAAAATGAAAATAACAAATAAAAGTCAAAAAAATAAAAAATTAAAGTTTAAAAGAAATAAAAGCCTATCGTTCCTATATAGACTTTTATTAACTGAATATGATAATCTATAAGTTGAAAAAATTTCAAAAATTTATCTACTTCATTTTTATGTTTAGTTCTGAACGGTGTCTTGCAAAGGCTATATTTTTCTTCTGTAATCAATTAATTAGTTTTGTATAAATAGAATTAATGTTGATGTAGGGTAAAAATATGAAATGAAAATTGAACTTTAAAATCTTTTAGCATTTTACTCTTTTTCAAAGGAATACGTTTAGCATAAAAAGTTTGAAAAAAAATAGCACGACTAATTTTAGTTGTTTTTTCTCACATTTAATGAATTAAACTGTTAAGAGAAGAAATTTATAAATTAAAGAAAATTGAATAAGAAATGATAAGTTGAATGTAAATGAGAACTAACATAAGGTTAATATAGTTTTATACATAAAGAAGGAAAAGTATGAATTGTTCTAGCAGAGATTTTAAGATATCTCAAAATGAAGCAACTATGAATAGTTCCTAGATATAATTGATTGACTGATTTATTGATTTATTGATTGATGTGGTGTGAAATGAAATAATTCAGATATAAATGTATTCAACATTGAGTGAAGCATTAATAGCATTATTACATCTCGAGATCATTGCTACAGTTATTGTTATTTCGGTTATCATTGATTGTTCCAGGAAAAAAGGTCAATTTCACAACAAACATTACAATGATAAATGAATGAGGATTACATAAATTGAAATGGTAACCAATACAGTTCAGCTGTATTGACCCCAATACAGTTGAACTGTATTGGTTACCATCATTTAACATACCAAATAATCAAAATCTGAATATGATTCGCTGGTTCTTAATTTGATGTAAAAATTTTGATGCGCTATGTAAATTGAGGGATTGAACTTTCAGAGCTAATTGTTGATGTGACACAGCCATCTCTCGGAGAAAAATCCAAAATCAGTGTATTCAATAGGGACGGTGAAACTGATATTGAAATGCCGTCACATTTACAGGTATATGATATAAAATGTAGAATTTATGGAATTTTTAAATTTAATTCCATTTAGTATAGCAGCTTCAAAAGATGACAAAATTAAAAGAGAAAAGTAATTTTATCGAATTTAGAACTTAAAAGAAGTTGAAGAGAACAAAAAAGAATCAAGTGAAGTGAAAAAGCTTAGTGAGAAAGATGAGAAAAAAGAGCCGAAATCGAATCCGAAATCAAAGGAATCTGAGAAGCAACGCTTTGATAATGAAAAATTATCCGCAAGTGGTGATAATCAGGGTGAAGCGATGGAAGTTAAAGATCAAAAATCTGAAAAGCAAAAACAATCATCATATGTTAAAGAATCCAATCGTGAAAATACAGAAAAGTCAGCAGAAAAACGAAAAAGTTGGAAATCTCAAGAGCATAAAAACGGTAATTTTTTTTTCATTTGAATTTAATTTATCTTATAAATTCTATTCAAAATTCTGCATAAATTTTTACATAAAAATAAAAAGAAAAAAACGGAAAAATATTTCGAATTACATACAAGCATAGATTTTGGTAAAATTCAATTACAGATAGAATGAATTTTAATCAAAATAAACAAAACGTAGCCGACGATGAAAAAAAGAAAGAGGAAAATGAGCAAAAGAAGTAAATGTTATTCGTGTCTAACTGGATAAATATATCCCAATACTTTGATTTTTTTTAGCATACTTTACATCATTTTTTCCTAATTTTACTTTCATAGCGATACAGAGAATGGCATTAAAAAATGTTGTATTTTAGTTTTTCTTCTTTAAAAAAGTTACACTTCTCTGTTTTGGTTACACATTTAACAAATCATTTAGTGCTTAAGCAAATATCTGATACAAATTAATTTTTATACATGAAATTGTAAGTTCTAATGATTCCAACAGTAATATATCATTATTAAATAATGATATATTACGGTTGGATAATACTTGTAATATGTATGATATATTGAATTCCAATTGTAATATATATTACATTATATATTGAAACATATTTAATGTATCATTATGTTTTATCCTGACGGTGCTAAAAAAACTCGAATAATTTCGACGGATAATTATAAGAAAATTACTCATTTATATTTTTCTTTTCTATCCATGTATATGTTATTAAATCCGATTTAAAATTAAAAAAATATCCTTCTTCGAACTAAATAATACGATATCGACATGGTGAAATTACCATTTAGTTGTTCGATCAAGCAATAGAGCTAATAACCAACTACAATTAGCTGATAACTTTTGACAGTAAATCTTTATGTAATAGCATATTAACAAATTTGTTAATAATAAATTTTCGTAGCATCGAAATCTTGGTATCGCAATTTGAAAGAAAATCAATAAACTTTAAAATCAAATATTAAAAAAAAGAACTTTCAATTCGTAACAAAAAATACTGTTGATGAATTACTGTTACTAAAAAAAAGAAAACACCCGGATTTTGAAATTTTTCTTTTTAAAATTTATATCTCCTTTTTTCTACTTTCCTGTTTAATTAATTTCTCTTCCATTCAACATTAATAATGAAAAAAACATGAATTGTTTATATGCATCTTTCATATAAGAATAAATTACTTTAAGAGAAATCATTGGAGAAAAATAAAGCGAGGAAATTTCAAAAATTTCATCATTTATTGGTTTCGTTCTTCTCTTTTTATTATTGCGGAAGATGTTTTGAAAGCTTTGATTTAGGTTTCATCGATTCACAATAAGCCTTACTTAGTTTTCACTCTCATCCATCTTTTCATTCATTTTCAACTCATAAACTCAGTTGTATACGAAAGACTTGATAATGTAAAAGATCCTTTGTAACACTGATTCCTCGAAAATTAGTTAGGAAATTCATTACTTGAATATTGAACGTAAGAATCCATCTCCTATGCAATTCATTTTAAAATATTTTGAAATGATCGCGACCAATCGGTTTGTATTCCGTAAATTAATTTCAAAATACAGAAGACAGCATTTTAGAATTTTAATACAACCGATTTCAAATATGGCGAAGGTGATGTTATATCTTGCATTCGTCATTTACTGCGACCAACAAGCCAATCCAAGTATGCTTTCACTATTTTTGTTCATCTGTTTATCGTTGTCCAATCGAAAAATGGACTGCGCCTCATTCCATCATTCCAGTTTCCATAGTTCATCGTAGAACTGAATTCAATAATGAAAGCTAACTTGAATGGTAATTGACATCAGTGTGCATGTCAATGATGCTTAGCTTTGTGATAAAAACAAGGAAAGCTAACATATCATTCGTTTAGTTTGATGGAAAGAAATTCATATGAAGTAAAAAAACAAAATTTCAAATTTTACAAAATGATACTTATTCTTGTGGTGAAGGCTTAAAATAATAGACTATAACTATCCCTATCGAGAACAAACTCGAAACTTCTCGAAATTAATTTCAATCCAATATTTATCACATAGCCAAGCCAAATAATTATACTAAAGATTTCTTCTTAATGATTCATCATTTTAATGTTTCCGTTAATTTTCACATTCTCAAACTTAATTCGCACTTACTGGCATCAATTTTAGATGGCGAAATTATCACGGATTGTAAAGTTGACGAGTCATTAGATGATGATCAATTAATAGTGAAAACGCAAGCGGACGAATGTATGTTTACATTATCATCACTATTATGATTTTTTCATTAGCAGCACCAACTTGCACATAACTGCTGTAAGTTAGAGGTGATAAGAGGTCGTCTAAGAGATATTTTGTAGGAAAAAATTGCTGATAAACTATCACTATTGAAAAATGGAATATCTGAATGCTTGAAATTCCATTTTTTCATTATCATTTACATCACCTTCTCTCTACTGCTTCTACTCAAAAATCAATCAATTTCTCCGGCTTTTTTTTACTCAAAAAAAATAAATTTACATATTTCTACTTGATGTATAATCACTACAGTGATTGCAGCAACACTGATAAGTTATGACGGAATGCAAAATGAAAGACTGTCTTCTATGGAAGTGAATCCGATGCTATTCCCGGTAAACATTCTTGATACGATGATGTGAAGTTCGGATGCCTATAAATATTACAAGCAATAAAGATTGATGATCGAATACATTTTAGAAAATTGAAAAGCGCTAACAAAGATATACAGGTAAAAAAACACTCATTCGAAAACCGAAAGATTACTTTATCTGGAAAATCTGATTCCAAAAACCAATAACAAAACTTAGAATCATTGTGCATATAGGAATAGAATGATTAAAGGGAGAGAGAAGAAATGAAAATGAGATATAGGAGAATATAATCGGCCATTGTTATGATGTACGATGAGCATTTTCAATGGGATGCGAGATTTCGTAGCGGATAATCATAACCGATTGAATTGAATACAATAAGATCAATAAACAGACTATATAAATAAAATAGATGAGTAACCAATTACATATTTATACATCATTTTTATATGAAATGAATGACTTCTTTTGGATTATAGGATTTTATTGTGGAAATAAATTTGTGTTTAAAATTTACCAATATCTTTGTCTTTAATCAACTAATAATGTGGTTGATATTTATCATCTATTAAATTTTAAAGATTGGATGCTAATAGTTTTTGATTTGATTAATGATGTGCAAATGTATTGCTGCTATTTTTTAATGTTTGAAAGATTTGTATTTTTAATTGGCTAATAATGCACAAATATCTTTTGCTATCTTTAAAAGTTGTAAAAATATGTAATTTGGTGGAATAATATCGCGCAAATATTCCACTACCACCTATCAATGCTACAGTAATATGCAAATATAATTACTTGATCCATCAATGATTATTTAAGATCATTCAACGGTTTATTTCAAATTAGCTAGCAGTGTGATCCAGATTATCCATCTGCCATTGTAAATTTATAGCTAGTTAATAACTTTCGACAGCAACTTTCTTGCAACAAAATATTAACAGATTTTCTTCATCATTGTTAATAGCATTAAGAAAATTTTCATTATAGTGAAATTTGGATAGCTCAATTTAGGGAAATCAGTGCATTCACTTTTAGAACTTGGATTTTGAAGAAAATTCGTTTCCGAGCATTTTAAAATTAAACGTTCAGAAAAAAAAATTCTTTTGCAAATTGTAGTAAAAATATGGCTAATAAATTATTATCACTGAGAAATAAAACGCTTCAATCTTCTAAACATCGTTTTTCGGCCGCATTTCTCAGTCACTTCCTCTTCCATCCGATATTAGAAATGCAGAAAATAATCAAATCATTGAGTAAAAAACGTAAATTGTTTTAACGCGTCTGTCATGTAAGAGAAATTTACTTTAAAAGCGGTCATTGGAAAAAATATAAAGAGGAAATTTCAAAATTTTCATCATTTAATGGTTTCGTCTTTTCCCTTTTTGATATTATGGATGATGTTCTGAGAGCTTTGATTTTAGGCTTCATCAATTCAGAACATGTCTTACTTAGTTTTCACTCACATTCATCTTTTCAAAATTCTACCTAAGATCGATTCTTCAAGAACTAGGATATTCACTAGTAAATACTGTCGTGAAAGTTTTTTGTTAACTTTATTCCAATAGATTCTTATGAGGTATTCAGCAGAGGGATTCCAACTCTGTCTTTGAAATATTGGTCCTTTAATTATGAAATAAGAGTTGAGTCCTATTCCAATGTGGTTGGTTGTAGCAGAAGAACGATGTGAAAACACACGTTGAATTGTACTTTATTGCAAGTGAAAGCCATTCAAATTTGGGTAATTAAACCACAGCAATAATAAAAACGCAATATTAAAACATGAAATAAGAAGCGCAAAAAATAACCCAAACGCATAACCCCAAAGGAAGGAGAACGAATGAATGAATGAATATTTGATGTGTTATATAG